TAAACTTATTTTTATCTTTAATTGTGGCTTATTCCCAGTTAAATAGTAATTTACGTAATCTATACATGTATAGTACGTGTAATAGCTTTGTCATAAGTCCGATCAAAAAATTTGTGCTAAAATTGTTCATATTGAAATATCTAAAAGTGCAGCTGACAACGCCAAAAATGTCTGCGCTGCAGCAAGTATTTAATTTGACATAGCTAATTGTGCGTCCGGGTAACTAGTGTTATGCGTTGCCTCTACCAGATATTTTTAAGATATATATATATGTCATAGATAAAGAATATATATTGCCGGATAGATATGTGCAGTTGTTCACAGCATATGTTGTGAGTGTCATTGTTGCTTTATTTTTCGTGATATTTTATGAAACAAAAGTAAAAATGTCTACAAGAGCCACATATATATTAAGATGAGTACGTAACCAGTTAACAGAAACAAAAGGTAAGTAGTTAATTACTATTTGGAAAAACAAATTTAATATAATCGTGGGAGAGCTTATTTGTATAGGTTAGGTATTTGTGGATACATTAGTTTTTACTTAAATATAAAATTGATACCGTACACTACTATTTTTATGTGATAAGCATAATATGCATATTATGTTGAACTTATTTAGCAAAGTCTATGAAAATAAATTGCAGATAAATAGCAAATGACGGAAGAGCGAAGAAAATTAAAAGATAGAAATGACAACAAATACAAAAAGTTGAATAAAACTATACTAAAGGAGATAAAAGGAGTAAAAGAAGCATGGCTAACGAAAAAATGTACGGAAATTGAAACACTACAATCCAAACATGACGATTTCCATATGCCCAAAAAAATTAAAGAGGTACAGAATACCAGAAAACAACGCAATACAGACACAGTTGTAGATACTAAGGGCCATATTTTGACTACCATTGAAGATAAATTAAGAAGATGGAAAGAATATATACAAATATCATTCGAAGATGCAGCACGAAGTCCGACTGAAATAAACAATCCCTACGGCCCAGAAATAACAAACAAAGAAGTAACTATGGCTATTAAGCGGATTAAAGATGGGAAGTCACCAGGGGCTGATGAGGTGCATGGTGAAATTTTAAAAGCTATTAGGGGCACACCAAATCACAGCTCTTACGAAACTATTCAACAATATCTACGAGACTAGTTACTTACCAAAAGACTGTATCATATCAATATTCGGTCCACTTCCTAAAAAACCAAACGCTAGAAAATGTGTAGAACATAAATTAATTAAAACATAATGACGGTATTAGATTTTGATTCAATACAGAGCAGCGACAAGCCGCATATACGTATTTCGACCTCTTTAGGTTTCCTCAGTAGGATATAGCCACTACTCCATATCGAAAGGAGACCTAAAGAGGCCGAAATAAGTATATACGGCTTGTCGCTGCTCTGTATCGAATCAAAATCGAATACCGTCATTATGTTTTATTTCTTTACTTCGTTTGGTGTACCAGAAATTGAATTCACTACGAATTTTGACCATGATGAACGGCATTTGGAATACAATCTTAGATTCCTTTGCCCATTTTTTTAGCCGATATATTTAAACAAGCTGTTTACTTTACAAGTTTTAGAAAGCACGGTGGTTGAGATTTGAATTCGATTTCGCCAGGTAGAAATCGTATGATTTCTCTTTTTGTTCTTAGATGGCGCCGTTACGTCTGTACATAGTTATTTTTAATAACTATGGTCTACGACGGGAAAAGATTTTGTTTCGGTACGGAGTAGTAGCTATACCGTACTAAGGAGACCTAAAGAGGTCAATTAGATTCCCTTGCTGATTTATTCATCAAGCTGTTTACTTTACAAGTTTTGGAAAGCACGGTGGTTGAGATTTGAATTTGATTTCGTCAGGTAGAAATCGTATAATTTCTCTTTTTGTTCTTAGATGGCGTGGTTACGTCTGCACATAGACATTTTTGATAACTATGGTCTACGACGGGAAAAGATTTTGTATCGATACGGAGTAGTGGCTATACCGTACTGAGGAGACCTGAAGAGGTCGAAATACGTATATGCGGCTTGTCGCTGTTCTGCATCGAATCAAAATCTAATATCGTCATTATGTTTTATATGTTTACTTCGTTTGGAGTACTAGAAATTGAATTCACTACGAATTTTGACCATGATGAACGGCATTTGGAATGCAATCTTAGATTCCCTTGCCGATTTATTCATCAAGCTGTTTGCTTTGCAAGTTTTAGAAAGCACGGTGGTTGAGATTTGAATTAGATTTCGCCATGTAGAAATCGTATGATTTCTCTTTTTATAAATTAATTAGTTTGATGAGCCATGTACTTAAAGAACTCCTTATTATCATTCACTCGCGCATATACACCAAATTAGAAGAACACCTGAGTGAAGTTCAATTTGGATTCAGAGCAGGACTCGGAATTACGGAAGCACTTTTTAGTTTGCAAATTATAATACAGAGAGCCAGTGATGTCAACTGCGATGTGTATGCATGTTTAATTGATTTCGAGAAGGCATTTGATAAAGTTCCTCATGGGAAACTAATCGATATCCTAAAAACATCAGGACTCGACGGTTAGGATATAAGACTGCTATCACTCAAATTTATATCTCCAACAAAACGCAACAGTACGATTACAAGATAAACTATCAGAGATCTTCAGAGTCAAAAATGGAGTTAGGCAGGGTTGCATATTGTCACGTACATTATTTAATATATACTTTGAAAACATCTTTAGAGAGGCCTTGGATGAATCAAAAGATGGGATTACTGTAAATGGCCAAGTTCTAAACAATATAAGATATGCAAACGATATAGTGTTGCTGGCAGATAGTGCACATAGACTCCAAATTATGATTGATAACGTTGTAGAAGTATGTAACAAATACGTCCTACAACTTAATTAAAAGAAGGCAAAAATAATGATTATTAGTAAGAACGCCAACATAAACGCCCAAATTACAATTAACGATACACCGTTAGAAAAAGTGGAAAAAATATGCTTTTTGGGCTGCAATACCTACCAGGAGTATTTATGAAGAATGCTTGTTTAGCTACCTGTAAACGAAAATGCACACAAAAATTTTCCTATATGAAGAGAGATTGTCGATTTTTCTACAGTTAGATAAGATATTACCAGTTATCATCCTACGAAAAAAAAGAGACTTTTTAATGGCTACACAGAAAAGAAAGATAAAAATGACATGCTACAGAACAATCTAGACGTTAAAAAACTATTATATTCTATTTACCTAAACATTCTAATAGAATCCAAGTTTGTAAAATTATGTTTATTAATACAATGGCGTCATCTGCTATACTGGCAAGTGTAAAAACACATATTGAAAAGTTCCTTGTAGTCAATTCATATTATTGCCATTCAAAAATACAACGGAAATGTTTATCCTTAGACCTTAACATCGCTCTTATGTATTCGTTATACAAGAACAAATGCAGTGAGAACAATCAAACACCAGCTAACTCTGCCATTTATAGAAAGGTATTTTCAGAGGAATAAAACCTTAGCTCCTATCGACCTCCTAAAGACCAGTGCCGGGTTTGTGTGGTCTACAACTCTCCATTAAGAGATAAAGCATCTTGACAACAAGTAGCATTGCAAAAATGTGTTGCATGTTCTTTTCTAAATGCAAACCATCTATCATGAAATTTAAAGGAAACTTTAGAATGAAAAACAGGAAAATTATTCCAAGCACTAAATAGAGGATTTCTTAATAACAAAGAAATATCAATAGCGACCAAGATGACAATATAAAAAACAATATATAGACCTACAGTGACATATGGAGCAGAAAATTGGATAATAAACAAGAGACATCAGAGCAGAATTCAGGCAGCAGAGATGAAATACCCCAGAAGAACGATCGGAGTAAAAAGAACTGATAGAATCAGAAATTAAGAAATAAAAGATCGACTCAAAATCAAAGCGATACTCGACTCAATCAAGAAGAAAGAATTGGCATGGTTCAGACATCTAACCCTGATGAACAATAATAGACAAGTAAAAAGAGTGTGGGACGCCAAACTAATAGGGAAAGACAGAAGAGGAAGACCCATTAAAGAATGGAACAGTGATATCTCGCAGAGTAAGGGTAAGACTTGGCAGGAAGCAACACAGATGGCATCCAATAGGAAGGAATAGAGAAAGTTCATTAAGAGCTAGGAAACCTTAGAAGACTGTAAAATATTGCAATTTAATGAATTGTATTATAAACGGCTCAACACCGATAGGTACAAATGGGTCTACTGATTAAGTAAAGTAAAAAAGATATAACTATATTTGTGAAGTTAGTGACATTTTGATATACTGGAAGTATCTGTATACTATAAAACTATTCACTACTAACACATACAAAATAAAACAGTGGGAAATAATAAATCAAAGGTTTAATGATTATACCATGGACGTATAAACGCAGAATATATCTGTGTTTATATGTCCATGGATTATATTTTTAAAATTGTATACTCTATAGATTTTAATTATTAACAAATATAATGAATTACTATTTAACTGGGAATACGTCACAATTAAAGATAAAAATACGTTTATTGACGTTTCAATTGCCACTTCGGAAATCGTTCTCAAAATACAAACAGTAAATTAAACAAATTTTGTTTAATTTACTGTTTGTATTGTGAGAACGATTTCCGAAGTGGAAATAAAAACGCCAATAAACGTATTTTTACATTTAATTGTGGCTTATTCCCAGTTAAATAGTAATTAATTTAAAATGCCACAAGAAAATAGCCTCAGAACAATATTAACAAATAGAAATATTATTTTTAATTAAAAATTCTGAAATTGTTTTCTTGTGGCATGCTTAAGTTAAAAATTTTATTTAGTATTTCATTATTAAACCACACTTTGGAAATCAAAATGTCAAAAATACAGTGTAAAATGTAATTTTTATTACACTCAATTGTGATTTAATCTCATATAAATTTAATATTTAACTAGATTATTGCAGTTTATTTATATTTGTAGAATGGAATCATAGATGAAAGTATACACAATTTATCAGAGAAGATTAAGGATGATCCTGACATAGAACTAGTTGTAGCAGACTTTGATTTTAACCTATCTATGATAAAACTTACACAGGCAGCACATCATCTTAGAAAACCAAATATTACCTTTTTAGCAGGGGGCGCAGATAAGACTTTTCCTGGTTCTAATGGAAAAAGTATAGTAGGTAAGATGTTAATTGAGAAAAACAAATTAAGAATCTAGAAAAATTTTAGACGATAGGTTTTTGAGAAACACATCTCCTCCATTAACAATTTATTTATGCCCTGATATCAACATCAGTCCCTTTGTTATAACTAAGCAACAATAACGGCACTGTTTGAAGTTCTAAGATGTTACGGATTTATAAGTTGTAGCCTTTAAAGTCTTTGGTGCAGTTGGATGTATGAAGTAAAACAAATTGGCTTCATTCTGTTTTTTTTTTCAGACGCTCTTCAGCAATCTAGTAATCTGAAAGCATTTTAGATGAAAATATTGTATTCTCCATTCGCTTAGCTCGGGCATATTTTGACAGATTCATTGTCGGAAACCTACAACACAAAAATACTTCTCAGTATTAATAGCTCAAGTATACTATTATTGTAGACTTCTTTCTTTAAAAAAAAGAAGAATTATTCCAAATAATGGAAGTGTATACTAAACCCATAACATTTTCCCTGTATATTTAAAATATAATATTTGAGTTGATACAATTGACCGTATTGTAGTAAATATTTGTATTATTCGCGTTGTTTATTTTAGCTAATATAGTTTTATTGTTCCATTATTTTTGTTTAATTCTTTATTAGTTCTATTTAGTTAATTAGTTAGTTCTATTTTGGATTTTATTATTAGAGATAGACAAAGTTTTCCATTTGTTCTATCAGATAATGCGTTGGTAAGTTTTTCTTGAATAAATATGATAAATGTTCTTTAAAAGTTAATATTTTTAGATGAGTAAGGATGCTGTTAAAATACGGGGTAATCAAACTGCACAAAGATTTATTCAAAACACCAACCATTTTTGTTTAAGGGAAGGTGGGGGAATGGTGCGCACCTAAGCGAGAATCGTTGTGGTGGTCAACTCTTAAACATAAAAAATAAAATAAAAACGTTATCTGATACCCTAATTATTCTACTTTCAGTATGCACTATAATAGATATTGAATTTCTTAACATAATCATATATAATTAGAAAAAGTAAAAAATTGCATTTGCGCACCGTTCCCCACCCCATGGGGTAACTGTGCGCACAGGGTGGGGAACAGTGCGCAGTAGTTTGGAATATACAAGTACCTAATAATACAGTGGTATAAAAACAAATTCACATGCAAGAACAAATATTTATTGTACGAGTGATTATATACCTATAATGTTAAGTAGGTATCTGTTTAACCTTGACAAAAGTCGCAAATGTATTGTTCGGGGGCATCTTTACCGGTACATGCCGCGTGGTTCCATAAGCCACATGCAACACACCGTACCATAGTTCGCTTTTTCCATGTTCTCCACATATGCCACATAATTCAGTCCGCACGTCAGGTTCTGCATCAAATGGAACATAGTTGGGGTTGATATCGTCTACTTCATCATCGTCACAAATGTCACTATCGTCTATGTCAGATACCTCTGATGATTCAGGCGTTGCTGGTTTCTTATTTCTCCCTCTTTTAATTTCCGGAGACTGACATATGCGTTTTTTTACTTTTTTTGCAACATTCTCTTTTGCCGTTATTTTTCTTGTAGTGGTTCCGTAGAAGGAGTGAGGTGGGATCGAGAAATAAGCATTCTCGATTTCATCTTCCTCGTCACGTTCTTGTGCATCAAGTTCAGGTGTTGGAGCCCTCTTCATTTTCTTATTATCTTTCTTAATATTGTTCTTTCCTAATGTTTTGACACTTTTTAATTTCATGTTTTTTTTCACGTCTTTTTTCCCTTTTCTTTGCTTGAGCTTGTTCTAATCGTTCTTTTAGGGGTGTGCTAGTCAATATTTCAGAGTGTTGTTTCGAACGAGACACTGTTTTTACTCTTCCTTTTTCTTTTCTCCTTGGAATAGGTGCAAATTGGAAGAATGAATTATTTAATGTAGATGTCGATGGTAGATGGTTGTGTCCAGACTTAGATGTAGATGGTAGATGATCTTGTTCAGCGGTAGATGTACATGGTAGATGACCTTGAATAGGTAGATCCTGCTGCTGTTGTTTTGGCATATGAGCTGTCTGTCTATCTTCACCGTCTGAATTTTCACTAGGTTCGGGTGTTGCCGGATTAGGAATTTTTTGTAGATTTGGCTGAGATGCAAGTGTTAATAAATTAGCGCTACGTTCGGGAGAACCTTCTACTACAAACTGTCTCATTTCGTTGGCCGGAGCGAAATCATCTTCGTTGAATTTGTTAGGGTCAAATGGCCTTATTCCAGCAGAACGAAATCCCGAAACTGCTTTCTCCATCGATGCGACTTTTACGAACGCTTTATTTAACAGCTCAGCTACGTCATATTCAGTGATCTTTTCATGGCCTGTTGTAGTTAAATAAATATCATACTCCCTGTATAGCGCATTTTTTAAAGGACCAAAGAAGGATAGGTCAAGGGGTTGAAGGTGATGGGAAGTATGTGGCGGAAGGGACACCATATGAATATGATTTGACTTACAGAAATCGTATGCCTCTATGGATATATGGCTTGAATGGTTGTCAAGGATAAGGAGAATCGGGTCATTTAAAGTGGGATTTGCCTGTTTTTTCGAAGTGCATTAACCAATCAAGAAAAAGTTCAGAATTCATCCATCCATTTTTTGAACATTTATAGTTAGCACCAGTTGGCCCATTTTTCTGCAGCGCAGGAGCCATTCTCTTTCTGGGATATATCAGCATGGGCGCGATATAATTTCCTGTGGCACTCATGCAAAATACGGCTGTAATGGTCCTCCCTCTTTCACCTGAAATAGCAGCTCCTACTTTTTTTACACCCTTACGTCCATAAACCTTCGGGCACTTCTTCTGTACAGTGGTTACACCCGTCTCGTCCATATTATATATCCTGTTTGCTTCAAATTTAAATTTTTGTAAAACTTTCTCGAGATTTGAATAAAAAAGTTTTAACTCGTCCGCATTAAATGCAGCAATTCGATTAAGACTAGTCCCCTCAGGCTGTCTCAATGATATTTCAGGATTTCGCTTGAGAAACCCATACAACCAATCTTTGCCTGCTAACTGAGTTTGTTTATTGAAATTATTTGGAATATTTTTCTGTTGAGCATAATTAAACGCTAACTGCCTCAGTTGTCGGGGCGTTACGCCGTAAAACAATTTTGCGAGTGTCAGAATATAGTGGGTTAATTCAGCTTCCACTTCTGCTGTAAAAATCGCCTTTCTACCGAGATGGGGGATTTTTAGTTGATTTAGAGAAAGCTTTTTTCTGAGTGTTGATTCAGGAATACCAAAAGACCTCCCAACTTCTCGTATTTTCCTCCCATCGTTTCTAATTGCATTCAGTGCAGTCTCCAGCAATTCATCACTATATTGATGGATTTCAGTCTTTCGAACGTAATTTCGTGGCATCTGAAAATAAAAGACGGATTTTAGTACCCAAAAACGATAACAATATTGCTTCATATTTAATTGATTAGTGGGTAACCGTGCGCATTTTCGCGCACGGTTACCCCACTATGGTTTAAAAACGTAATTACATCATCCTACAAAAATTACTTATCTAAATGCAACCAAATGGTGTGCATATATGCAGCAGATGATATTCTTTAAGAATATAATTATTTCAAAACAAGTAGTTAAGATTTACGGACTCACCGTCTTAATTTGTGCAAGTGGAAAATAGTAACAAAAACCTCAAATGCACACTTTCGCCTTTCACTAAGTACACAACTCAACTGCAGTGGCAGTTAATGGCTTCAGAGACTCTGTGCATGTTCCCGCTTAAGCCTGTTCGGGAGGGGACTCTCAGTATGCCGCGTAATTTGAATTTTAATGGTGCGCACCGTTCCCCACCGCGCACGGTTCCCCCACTTTCCCCTAATTATTTGCCCATTCGGCGTAGGTGGATCATTGAAATATATTTATAAAATTATGTAAATATGTTCTTAATAACAAAAACATTTCAGTTAACATTCAGTTCAGTTTGACATGGCGTCAAAAATTAAATAAAAGCTGTTATAAAAGTTACAGTAATTTAGTTTATATTGTTAAGTTGCTCCAAATGTAGGCAACCAACTTAAACTTTTTGTTAGGATTTAGCTGGAGTTTCTTGAGAATATTTTTAATAAACATTTATTATTTTCCAGTTAATTTATTATTTTTTAAAAGTGATGATAATAATGCTGAATAAGCAATATTTCAAATGATATTTAATCACAAAACGTACTTAATATTGTGTTATTGTAAAATCCTCATAATAAAGTACGTTAGATAAAAAAGGTAAAATTCCGGGCCGTCCAAAACTAGTTTCTAATAGGAATAATAGATTATGATTTGTTTTAATTATATTTTTGATGATACTGGATATTTTCGATGAATGATATTTTTGAATTATAATAAATATGAATATTATATTTTTTATCTAACCTACTTTATAACACAATATTAAGTACGTCCTGTGATTAGATATCAGTTGAAATATTGCTTACTCAGCATTATTATCATCACTTTAAAAAATAATAATAAATTAACTGGAAAATATTAAATATATTCTCAAGAAACTCCAGCTAAATGCTAACAAAAAGTTTAAGTTGGTTGCCTACATTTGGCGCAACCTAACGGTATAAACTAAATTACCGTAACTTTTTTTATAAAACATATTTTTTATATATAATAGAAACTTACATTCTATATACATGCTATAAATTCTAATTCATAGTATAAGTTTGCAAAAGAGGTCGACGAAATACTCTAATAAAATGCGCTATGAGCACGTGTACTTGGTTGTATAATAATTTCCAGCCACTTCTGTCTGTCAAAAAGTAACTAACTTCGTAAAAACATAATTACTAAAATCACTAGACAGTTCGGACTGGCATTAGCGAACCGAGTTTCTGAGGGCTACTGACAGTCTATTATCAGGACCAGCAATCTCTATTTCCTACCCCCTTTTGTGTTTTACCTATCAGTACAATACGTGATTCTCTTTTAATTAAAATATATAGAAATATAGTCAGCTGTCGGGTTTTAAATGCC